CCATTCAGATAAGTGAACAGGCCATTAAGAAAAGTGCAGCCCAGCCGGCGTGGCTCAGCTGTTGAGCGTCAACCTGTGACCCAGGAGAGCTCGGTTCGATTCCCAGTCAGGGCACATGCCCGGGTTTCGGGCTCGATCCCCAGTGGGGGCGTTCGGGAGGCAGCCGATCAATGACTCTTTCATCATTGATGTTTCTGTCTCTCTCCCTCTCCCTTCCTCTCTCTGAAATCAATAAAGACATATTTTAAAAAAGAAAAAAAAATGAAAAGAGAAGAGTGCAATTGCCCTGGCTGGTTTGGCTCAGTGGTTAGAGCGTGAGCCCTCGGCCCAAAGGGTATCGGGTCTGATTCCTGGTCAAGGGCACGTACCTCGGCTGCAGGCTCGATCCCTGGCCCCAGTCCTGGGCGTGTGCAGGAGGCAACCAGTCGATGTGTCTGTCTCACATTGATGTTTCCCTCTCTCTCTCTCTCTCTCTCTCTCTCTCTTGCCCCCTCCCCTCCACTCTCTCTAAAACTATCAATGTAAAAAAATATCCTCGGGTGAGGATTTGAAAGAAAGAAAGGAAAGTGCAGTCACCGAGGGGAGGAAGGTGCTTGCACAACTCAGTCGCCCATGAGTGGGTGCTCTGCTCTACATTAAATAGTGTGGCTAGCACAGCCGCACCTGGCATGGAACTGCAGCCACTGTGCTCTCCAGCTTTGCGACTTGTAAACTGGGCATCTACACAGCCTGGCAAACAGCAACTCAGTTCTCAGCCTGTGCGCCAAGCACTGTGGCCTCCCCTAGATGGGACCCTGGGGGACGCCGGGCGCTGTGGATTATGGCAGCACTGGACAGTGCGTTCTTAGAAAGAGTTAGGCATGCAGACTTAGCTGTGATCCCAAGCAGCTTGTGCCCTGTAGGTCAATAAGTATTTGAGAAATAGAAGAATTCTCCGTTAAGGAAATAAGAGAGATACAGGTATTTTGGATGCAGCATCCTAATTTCTATTAAAAGTTACCCTGGCCTTTTTCCTCACTGCATCCATGAAAGCAACATGGGTCACCAGTGGCTGAGAAAATTTGGCCAGTGTTCTCCCTGCTGCCACATCTGATAAAACCCACATGGTCTGACACGTAAATACGGCCTCCCTGTGTAATGGAACCAGTGTCCACGGTACGTGAAAGCTGTACGCTTCCTTAGGTTGGGCTACATGAACTTCCTTAAAAGGGTTGTCCAGGACACCTATCTGACCACAAAAGCAATGCTAGCCTAGCTCTTTGTACACAAAAACTTTTAAAAATACTTCACTTACGAGTGTTTTAATGTGACTGAAATAATCAACTGGTTAGAGAAATCACCTTTTAATAACTTACTATTATCTTCTCAATGGATCCATCTTCAAAATATGTGGCTCAGTTATATAAAGGTCTTCATCTTGAAAAAAAGTTACTTCTGCCCCCTTCTCTTTGAAGGGGGTCTTGAAGGTTCACAAGAATCTTTAATAAAAGTAAAATGCTCGTTAGAGAATAAAACCTTCGATTAATCTTAACTGACTGTAGGCAGCAGTCACCTGAGAAATGCTCTTCTAGTAGAGAGGAGCCTTGTAGCGGGAGATGCCTGTCTGTGTGCCTCACCAGGTGCCTTACCTCCGCCTTTTGTTTAATTCCCGCTTTGCAGATGAGAACACTAAGGCCCAGAGAGAGTGGTTCTCCCAAGCTCCTGAAGGTCCTTTGTTGAGCCCCCGAGTTGCACAAAGAAGCCTCCACTTAGGGAGCGCCCACAGCTCCACAACGGACTGCGCTTGCAACACACAGGCCTGTGCACTGCCATCTTTCAGCACCTCGCCCACCGTCCAGTGCGGCAGAGTCAGTGACGCCCAGTGGAGATTATTCCCTTACTTGTGGTTCTGCCACTAACTAGCTTTGTGCCTCGACATTTCAATTCTCCAGGCTGTAGTTTCCTGGTAAATTAAATCTTGATGATCTCTAAGGTCTTTCCTAGTGAAGATGAGTACCGGAATGCCTGGGGAGCCCAAGGCTGGCCGCTGGGTGTTCAGATTGGCCCTTCCCGCTCACCCACCAGGCAGCAGACCCATGCTCGGGAGCCCCCGCAAGCATTGCCAAGCCGGGACTCTGTCCATTTAGGCTGCAGACCAGGGGTGTGGGTTAAAAAGCGCAGTAGGACCTGAGAAATCTGCAGGGATCTCAGTGGCCTCCTTGAGTCGGAGGAGCTGAGGCTCAGGGAAGACTGGAGGTGCATACGCTGATATTGAGGCCCCCTGTCTGGGTGAAGTCATTTGTGTTCACTGAGAGGCCCCCTTCCTGCGCTGCTTTATTTAATTCTGGGTATGGTATAAATAGAACCTGGCTCTCTGGCAAAGCACACCACCCACCACTATGTTCCTTTCCTTTTGGGATATCAACCAAACCTGAGACTTTGATTCCCTCTAGTGGCTCAAATCGGCAACTTTCACAGCTGATTTTTGCATTTATTTATCCAGTGTATAGGAAGTGCCCACTGTGTGCACCCAGTTGGTGCTGGGTGCTTTAGCTTTGTCAGGGTGTGGGGTACTGGTTTAATTTGAGCATTCCTGTGTCTAGTGGGCAGTGATCAGGAATAGGAGCCACAACTCCTCCTTAGAAGCTTAGCTTGGTCCAGTGCAAACCAGCTAATTTCCCTGCTGCTATATAGCTGCTTTATGGGGCCTGAGGGAGGATGGGTTTTATATGGGTTTTTCCTACCAAGAAATGAGTTGAGGATGTTGGGCTGACTGCTTTATCCCTGGCCTCAGTTTGTTCATTGGTAAAATGAGTGCATGGCTTAGATTCAAATCAATTCAACAGATGTTTATTAAGCACCTGCAGTGTGTGAGACCCGGGGCTGGGGGCTATGGGAACGCAGTGGTGAATGGTACTTAATTTCAAGGAGCTTATTGGCTATGGGAGAAGCAGACATCCAGGAAGCCACGTAAAACATAGGACACACGTGCATGGCATGGCTGTCGGAACGTGAGCTTTGCAGTGAGACACACCTGGGCGGAGGCCCTGCTCTGTGACACTGGGCAAGTTGCTAACTCCCTCTTTACATTTCCTCCATCAGTGTGGAGAGGAATCCCTTCTTCATAGGTGTGAGTGCTCATTCTGGAGGCACGCCCATTGCAGTGTCAGGTTCTAAACAGAAAGAACAGGAACACTGTTGAGAGTGTCAATAAGACCCTGCAAGGGACTTGCCCCGTTGGTTCTGAAGGCTGCTTCTTTATGCTCAGCATAATTCTACCGGTTCCTTTCTTTGCCCTGGAGCTTGGGAACCCACCTGCTGCTGCTCTTAGGGTGGGTGCCTGTGAGGGCTCTAACCCAATCAGGCCCCTGGGGAGAGAAACACGGTCTCCCTGCCCCCTTTTTCCTCCGTTCATTTTCCTGCAGGCAAAAATACAGGCCCTTCTCCTCGCCATATATTTGCTGCTCATAGTTTTGGGAAATGAACAGGGAGTGAAAGAGGTAGTTTATCTGCTTCTGTTAGTCATGATCCTTGGCCTTTAGTGTTTAAAACCCTTCTGAGGTGACAGAGTGATTATGCTCCGGGAGCAAGGACTTCGCACAAGCCCTGGCACTTGGGGCTCTTTTAACTTGGAGGTTGTATAATATTGTTGTGTTGTGAATGGCTTGAAAGAGATCATTTTTCACGCTGCGCTTCTTTGTTACTGAGTAAGGAGATAAGGGAAGATCCGGAGATAAAGCATACCTTGAATGCCAGGCATGCCATACTGAGAATCTAGGTGGGGTTTCACCTAGCAATTCATCTGTCGTCAGTGCTGTAGATTTAATAGTCAACAATGTCAAAGCCTTAGCCAGAGGCTAAGAGACCGATTAATAGGAAGGAGAGGTGAGCTTGGAGGCCAAAGTCTCTGACAGGACATCATTCCTAGAAAAAGATGAACGTCAGAGGGAAAGAAAGCCAAAAGTGCAACTTGAGTTCCTGTTGGCTAAATGGGTATTGGGTCAAGGAGGGACAGCATCCAAATGTGGTAACTGAGAATTTTGCTTTGGATAGAAAGGGTTGAAGCCGCAGGATAAGAAACTAGNCGTCAGAGGGAAAGAAAGCCAAAAGTGCAACTGAGTTCCTGTTGGCTAAATGGGTGTTGGGTCAAGGAGGGACAGCATCCAAATGTGGTAACTCAGAATTTTGCTTTGGATAGAAAGGGTTGAAGCCGCAGGATAAGAAACTAGACTAGAAGACAGGAGTTGGGAGGCTAAGAGGAGGAGCGTTTCTGAGGGAAGCAGGAGCTGCCCTAGGAGAGCACTTGCTGCCCGAGGCCCCCTGCACCTCCTCAGGGCCCTGCGGGTAGCCAGTCTCCAGGAAGGCTCGAAGGACTGAGCTGGTGTCTGGAGCCTGTTCTGGGGACCATGCTAACCTCGGCCTTCCCTTTTGGTTTCTGTCGTGTTGGAAGCCTCTGCTTATAGTAAGGGAGAGAAAAATCAAAAGAACACGGTCGTTGACCGGAGTGATTCCATTATAAAAACCCTAAAAGGTGGGAAAGACAGGCATTAGCAGAAGTGTAATTCGAGAGGGGAGGCTGCGGTTAAGGAAGATATGATTAATTCAGTTAATGGAGGAGCCAGCGCAAGATCCTGGGGCTTCTAGCACTTCTGGTCTAGGATTCTTTCTTTTTTTTTTTTTTAAATTTTTTTCTTTTTATTGATTTCAGAGAGAGGAAGGGAGAGGGAGAGAGAGATAGAAACATCAATGATGAGAGAGTCACTGATCGGCTGCCTCCTGCACGCTCCCGACTGGGGATCGAGGCCGCAACCCGGGCACGTGCCCTGACCGGGAATCGCATCGTCACCGCCTGGCTCATGGGTCGACGCTCAGTCACTGAGCCGCACCAGCTGGGTCAGGATCCTTTCAACACCTTGACTTGCCCCTCGTGCACAGGAACATCCAGTGATGAGCTGTAACGTTTGCTTGCGCACATTGCCTTGCAGGTTCTGTGTTACTCATGAAAGGTTTTCCTCTTTCAGTTTCCTACTATGTTGGAACCTTGGGGGTTCACATTGAGATCAAGAAAGTGGCAGAGGAAAAAGTCACTCTACCCTGTAATCATCAGCTGGGGCTTCCAGAAAAAGACACCCTGGATATCGAATGGCTGCTCACCGACAAGGAAGGGAACCAAAAAGCGGTAAGTGCAGCCGGCCGGAGCCCCCCCACTCTCCTGGCTTACCCCCCTGCCTTCCTCAGTCCTCCCGTCTTTCTCATTGGGTCAGAAAGCGCTAGAATTGCTTTTTTCTTTTTTTAAAATCCTCGTCTGAGGATATGTTTTTATTGATCTTTAGAGAGAAGGGAAGGGAGAGAAACATCAATTGGTTGCCTCCTGTACGTGGCCCCACCAGGGATCAAACACACAGCGTAGGGTATGTGCTTTGACGGGGAATCAAACTCACAACCTTTTGGTGTACGGACGATGCTCCAACCAACCGAGCCACCTGGCCAGGGCTAGAATTGCTTTTTTTTTTTTTTTTAAATCTGGCTGATAGATCAAAGGCTCTACATACGAAACTATAAAGGAGAAGGGGTATTTGGGCTGTGAGGATAAGAGAGTCTTTCTTTGGGGAAGCAAGAGCTACTGGAAAGTCCTCTGTCGTCTGCCCCAAAAGGGCATTTGCACCATTAACGTCTCTCCTAAGAAGGGAAGGGAAGTGCAGGCTTGATTGTCTCGCCGAGGGGCCAGGACTACACCTACGGCAGGAAGCTGGCTCCTGCTTCTCCCCTGAAACCATTACCACCTGCCTGCGCTTCACCTTTGCAAAGTCATGACTTCTGACCCCTAAGAGTGTGTCATGTAAACACGATACTGTGGCGCCGGGGCAGGACACGAATGGAAATGTTTAACACACATTTAACTGCCAGCTGAATTGACGCCGATTCTGTAGCTAGAGAATAAAGGAGCTGCCGTGGGTCTTCAGTGTCCAGGATGCACAGGGCCATAGGGCTGCCGTGATGGCCATTGGTTTACAAACTTTTGGCAGTGTGGACAGGACCTGCAGTGCCCTGTTCCTGAGGGTCCCTGGGCTGGCCTTTATTAGAGACTGAGAACCAAGTAACCTACTGTTCTTACCCTTTCTGCCCTGGCTGCATTCAGCCACTGGGCCTCTCCTCAGCCTACGTTTTCTAGAATAACTATTCTCACTCCCTTTACCCATTGACTTATTTTTTTTATTTTTTTGTTGAAAGTTTTGTGATTTAAAAAAAAAAATCTATAACCTACGAAAGCTGACCTTAGATTTTCCTTCTTTTACAGAACTTTACTTCTCTCCCTACTAAAAAGTGAAAAGTGTTTCCTTTCCACTTTCTATACCACTAATTTTATAAGATGGTTTTTACAAGCAGAAGCTAAGGTTCTCACTAAAAATAAATTACAGGATCCCTGTTGGAGTTTAATCTGCTTAACAAGCTGCCTCTGTCACTGTGTTGCTTTGACGCTGCTTGTCACTTTGTCCGCACAGCGAGTTGCCCTAAGACTCTGTTCTCTGTAGAGCAAGGTCACCTTAACCTGAGCGTGTTTATTCCATGTTTATTCTTAGTCCCAGCTCTGAATGAAGTAAATAAGAGCACAGTTTCCTCTAACAAAAATCCAAGAATGACTCCACTCATCTAACTTTTACCCAAATGCTTTTCTTTAAACTAAAGAAAAAAAAGAGTTGCTTGGTTATGTAGCCAAGTGAACAGGACGGTTAGGAAGTCAATTAGTGATTAATGAAGGCCACCGGCCTGCTTTTGATATCACTCTGATAAGCAGTCACAGCTCCCTCCTTATCTTCAGTCAATTCTAAAGGATCGTCACTTATTCAGTCATTCAGGTTACACAAATTGATTTTGCACTTACTAGTATGCCATGCTAAGCAGTGGGGTACAGGGGTGAAGAGACATCGGAACCCCTGGCTTCTTGGAGTTTACAGTGAAACAGCATTCAGTAATTAATAGATATATGTTTAAGTAGAGCACAATAGGTATTAGCTACATGCCAGGTACAAGTCGTTTAGCACATATTATGTATTTTAACTTAACGCTCCCCGGATCCTTAGTCCCATTTTACAAGGAGGAGCTGAAGCCGGTGCGCAGAGTGGGAAAGCTGCTTAAGGTCAACCGTTTTGCATTTTGAAACTAGGCCCTCTGACGTCAGCACCTGGGGTGTTAACCACTAGCTGTATTCCCTTCACAAATAATTTGAAATGATTCTGTGCTATGTCCGAAATAAGGAGAATGCAAGGAGAAAACTATTCCGAACAGAACTAATTATGCAAAGACCCTGGTGCTGGAAAAAGCTTGGAACTATGGAAGCTCTAAAAGATTAAAAGCCAATTTGGTATAAACCAATGTTACCTCAATCAAAATCTAGTTTAAAAACCTATTTGATTCAATTTAATAAATAGGGATTCCTACTACACAGGCACTCTATCTGAAGGAGCGAGGTGAAGAAGCACGTATCAGGACAGAGATAAGATGACTGTTCTAGATTAACACAAAGGAGGAGCTATTGGCCAAGAGTAGTTGGAGGAGGGGAGAGACCAACAAGAGCTTCAGGTAAGAAGGTACATATAAACAAAAAAATGTAAAATAAAAAAGAAGGGAAAAAAAAGGCACATGTGAGTGCTGGTAGAAGGCACTGCTCTGAGGAGATCACCGAGCATGGACATAAAGTCTGGAGATCTGGGACTCACAGGCAGCTAGTGTAAGTGCAGAAGTCGCAGGACCAGAACGTGAAAGGTCCTGTGTGCCATACTAGGGAGCTTAGGATTTCTCCCACAATGTCATGGAGTTCTTGAAGGATTTTAAGAGTGAAGGGACATCTTTGCATTTTAAAGCAATCACTATGGCACCGTGCGGCGCACTGATTGAAGGGGGGCTCAAGTAGAAGCAATATCAGTTAAACAATTTCAGGCTATACAGTAAGGGCTGAAACCACAGTCATGGATAGTTGGGATATAAAGAAGAAGTTAATCAAAAGTTAGTAAGTAAAGTTGCCAAGCTTTTTATTTGCCAGGGGCTTGGGAATGAGAGTGGGGTGACTGAGAAAGAAAATACAGGAAGGGTTGGAATGGATGTGGTGCTTAAAATAGGCTAAGCAGTGGCCTAGATCCCAAGTCTAGCTTTGCATTTTAATCTGAGCAGAAATGTTTCCATCCCTTTGTCTAGGATGCACAGATATGCAGGGAACGTTGGGAGTGAGTAAGCAGGCTCAGGAATAGTTGAACTTCAGCCTGGACAGGATGGCCATTAGAACTCTAAAGCTGTCCTCCTGGTCCTAGGGATGGAAACACAGTAGAATTTCCAAAGCAGGAGAGACCGCCTCCCCCAGGGTCAGTCAGGAGCACACAAGAGAAACCTTTCCCCTCTATTTTTCAGATGGAGAAATTAGGACAGAGGTGTTCCAATCCCCGTGCCAAGCCCCTTGGCCACACCTTCACCCTTTCCCCTTTCCCTTTACAGCAGCAAGAAAAATCCTGATCTAAGACAGAGAGAGGGGCTGGCATCCCTGTCCCTCAAGGCAGTTTCACATTTGCTATGCAGGGCATGGGACAAATGCTAGCAGGGCAACTGCCAGGAAGCCACGCTGCGCCATCTGTTCCACGGGAATCCTGGCAAACTGTCCTGCCTCCGTCGCTAAAAATGCATCTGGAACAGGCCCACCAGAAACATCACAAGACAAACAGCCCCTCCACAGCTATAATTCAGATATTTAATTTTGTGTGTGTTTGCTGAAGAATTAAATTATGTTCATTGCTCTCCCATTACACCCTGATCAGTGGCTTAGTCTCAGCACTACATTTCCTAGAACTAAAACCAAAATAAAACAGACACACGCATCTGAGATTCAGTGTCTGTCTGAAAAAAACTGAACCAAATTGCAATCCGTGTCAGAAGTGAAAGTGAAATTCATATTAAGTAAGGGTTAAGTTTATTTTGGAGTTGCATCATCTCTGCTTTCTAAAGATGTGAAATACATGTAGTTATCACTCTTTTCTTCATTAAATGTTAGGACAGGATTTTGGAGAAAGGGGAGAGAAGCAATCACCAGGACAGCCTGTATGCACAGAGGGTAACTCTTGAGCTTGAGGCCTGTGCAGGTGCTGTTCAAGCAAAAATAAAAGCGGAGAAGGCAGCCCGATGCAAGACAAAGGCACTTCAGGGACACTGCTTAGAATCAAGGGGCGGTGGGTTTAGGGAGTGGCCTTTTCAGAACGGTGAGGGCAGGTGTGGCTCAGGCTGCTCACTGGCTTCAGGTGGCACCTCCAGAGGCCAAACTTTACAGTGTGCCCAGGGGGTAGGATTGGAAGGTTTTAGCCAGGGCAGGTTTTCTATTCAAATGTATGGAATGGTGAATACCCTTTGGGTACTGGGCTGAACAATTTTGGAAAACTTGGGGGCTTCCTGAATGCAGAATCACAGTAATGAAAGTGACCGTGAGTGCTTACTGTCTCATTTCCAAAAAACGCTATGAAGTAGCTCATGTCCCTTACAGTTGAGGGCCTTACGGTCTAGAAAGGTTGATTAATGGCCCCGGTACGCAGCTGTAAGTGGAGGAGCTCCCATTAGAACGTGGTCTATTAGCCCTCCCGGCAGCTCTGCCACCTTGCCCTGGCGCAGCTTTTTTCCAAATGAGGACCCTGTCGTGGATCCCTAGCAACCAGACCTTTTGTTTTAACATAGACTAGAAAATATGGAGCGTATGGCACATACACTATTCCATGAAACGTCTGTTTCAGTTACATATGCCTGTGCTGGTTCATGAAGAAAAGTGTATTTCTTAATGTGAGTCACTTCAGAAAGCTCAAAAGCTCCTACTGTGGTGTACTTTTAAAAAGTTTTTATTTATTGATTTTTAGAGAAGGAGAGAGAGAAACATCCACTTGGTGTTCCACTTATTGATGCATTCATTGGTTGATTCTTGTATGTGCCCTGAGCGGGGATCGAACCCACAACCGTGTTGTATCGGGATGACACTCTAACCAACTGAGCTACCCAGCCAGGGAACTGTAGTGTACCCCTAACAGTCTAAAGCAGGTACAGTCCGAGGCACATTCTCCCTCCCAGGAACACACAGGTGCCTTTCCTCTCCCCCTCCTCTTCCCCCAGGTGCCTTGCCTTTACCTTTCTCTCTCCTAAGCTCCAAGGGCCCTT